GTTGGTCATTTGTTGCCAACGCCGCCCCTTTCATGTGAACGCAGCTAGGTGCAGAAACCCTGGGTGGTCATAACCAGCATGGTGTGACCTCTCCGCCTGACTGCGGCTGCTAGGTTTATTGAAGTCAGATAACGAAAATACACTCTGAGTATGTTGAACTTGCTTTTTAGTAGGTCTCAGAATGCAGTGCTTTGGCCCGAGACTTCAACTTGCAAGTTATGTCCATGCAACATTCACTAAACAGTCTACACACATCACAGTATGGGACTTCTTCCAGGATCATGCAGCTCTGTGTTCTAGTGAGTACCTCTGTACAGTGTGGTTCTGAGTCTGAGGCATGCTCCTTTTGTTTTCTTGATTTGCAGGTGGCACTGCTGCTGCTTCCCACTGAGCTCTTCAGAGACTGGAGGACGTTGATGAGGTGACTAAGAGGTACAGTCACCTGCAATCACAGGTAATCAGACAGCGAGTGAATGACATGAACGTAACAGATCTGTGATTATCAAACGCCGCTTGTAAATCCAAAGGTGCATCAGCTGTGTTACATAATCAAAGTCAACCTTACAGTGTATCTAATTAGTTCTAAACAAAAACGTGCAGGTGTTGTCACGTGATTAAGCACCTGTCGCTCATTCACGCACTTTCATATTGAGCACACACAACTAAGGACACACTGGACGCGCAGGACAGTTGTTTAAGCTAGCTAACCGAAACTTCTCTCTGCGGCCTTTACTTCTTATTTTACTTTAATTACATTTAAAGAGCAAGATAACTGCATTGACAAAATGTCCACTAACGTAACCGTAATCTCAAATCTCCAAACTGAAACTAATGACAGCAGTGTGACCCATAAGAACACCAGCTAGCCTAGCTTGCTTGCTAGCTACCTAGCTCAAGTGAACGGGCCAAAACATCAACAATGCTAATGCTAGCTCGGCCTAACATTTCCTGCGTTCTTACCTGTGGCTGCACCGACATTGACAGGGAAAACATGTTTAACTGTCACCGGTGGGACGTCGCCGATCAGCTGAGCGAGTTGTGTCACTGTCCCTGAGAGTTAAAGGTCTGTTTCTCCTTGTCTTTCTGTAGCAGACATAGCAAGTCCGACTGCGAACTTCAGCGCAGCTGTCACAGCCGAGAGTAACCCGGATGTGACCTCCGGGGTGTTGTGGCGAGTTTGGTATCCATGGCGAAAATCGGTTCCGGTTTAGTTTGGTCCTGTAATAAAAGCCTAACAACATTTATTTGCTAATAAAGTAGCCTTGAAATGTGATAATACGATATTGTCTCGGCACATTTATGTTTCAAAGCCTCTTTTTGGTAATTTCTCACTAAATTGGCAATGATCATCTAGTTATCCACTATTAAATAATAAATTATAGCTGTTTTGACAAAAATTAATCGGTTTGACTGGTGTTTTTAAAGAATAACTGGTCAATTTTGTTTCTGATTCTAGCCTCTTAAATATTTCCTGGTTTCTTGGTTGTGGACAAAGCAAGACATTTGATCATATCAATTCAATATCATTTTTTATATGAAATATTTTTATCACTTGTGCCACTTTCATTTACAACATTGCCAATGTGATGCGCAATATTTCATTGTCATATGTGATATTACTTAATGCCTCGGTTTTTGCTCGCATTACTTTGAACTGTTCTATTCTAGCATCAGTTTAGCTTCACATTTTATTTCAGTAATATATCGTGCCTATATCTGTTTGCGTTTGTACTTTTAAGGAGTTGCGTTTCTTATGTTATTTGTTGTTTTCTGAGCAATATCTGGCACAAGAATTTTTTATTTCGTCACGGGCTTTGAGAAATGCTGATCAACATTTTTTAAGTCTTTTTTTATATATATATATTTAGAGACCAAACAAATTCTTAATTAAAAATAAATAAATAAAACAAATGTTCATTGCAGCACTGTTTTTGACATTGCCCACGAGTAGCAATAAAAAGTAATTCTCAAAAACACTCAACCTTTGTCAAAAGCCTTTCACATTGAGTATGAACATTTTAAAAAAGTTTTTTCCAAGAATTCCTTTATTGCATTTTTAAAATAGTTTCATATACTGATGTTTTACATTTGTTCGTCTTCATTTTCACTTTAGAGCTGACACGAAACAAGAATGATTATATATATATAGTTATATGAGTATATGGATTGTCTGTACCTCACTTTTTTATGCAAGAGTGCAATCTTTCTTTACCATTGCACTGAAGCTACTAAGTAAATACACACCTTAACACACAAATAACCATATTTTGCACCTTAAACGTCTATTTGGCCTCAAAAGAAATGCCTCTGGAATATTTAAATATGTTAGATAACACATATAAAACACAGATATCCTTAGTTATCAGGAAAAAAATGTATTTGACCAAAAAAAATAAATACTAAAAGTAGCCTTATTAAATAATGAAATGTGGAATAAATAAAATGACAATATGGATACTCTTATCACTCCACAGCTAATGTGTGATGATGAACTGTGAATTTATTTTAATTACGTGAGCTATGTGTATATTGAGTTCCTGGTGATCTGTGAGTCATACATAAGATCATCACGTCATGCTAACGGTAACAAAGAAACTGTGCCAGCATTTATAATGCATAAGTCGTCCCTTTTTTAACACCTACAAAAATCTCCTTTGAGTAAAAATGCTACACTGTATTGCCGAGCCCCTTTTCAAACACCTTTCTGAGCGTTTATCTAATGAAGCTTTTCCATTTCTACTGATCCCTCGTCGCCCTCCATCCACGGCGGTGGCTTCAGAAAGCCCCTTGGCAGCAAAAGTGCGTCGATTTCATCCAGAGTTCACGATGTTTGACTGATGATGGTGGTCATCAGACTACTCATGGGATTTTCCTGTGAGGAGAAAAGCAGAATCAGAAGTTTGGTAGTTTGAATTATGGTTCTAAAACAAAAACAATAAGCAGCGACAACAAAGCTGGAATTCCTATCGTGTTAATTTCGCTAACCTTCTCTTCCGTTGTAAGTAAAGCTGGACGAGCCAATGAGCCATCAGAGGCCAGAGTGCAGTCAGCACCACTGTGAGCGGAGAGGAGTCAAAAGGCCACCAAGAGGGTCTCAGGAACTATGAGAGCAAACAACTGGGATAAAGAGACTTTCTCTACCAACAACACGCTCGTTTGTCATTAAACTGAACTTCAAAAAATAAGCAAGACTGAAACAATTTAAAATCCACAAGTAAAGCTGATAAACTATGAAAAAATGTTTGATGGTGACCTTTCGTGCGACCGGTACAAGATCCTCCTGCTTTGGTGAAGATGATCTCGACTATAGCAATGAAATAACAACATATACACGTTGATTAGTAAATATCTAATAAATTGCCATCAACAAAGGTGCTTTTCAATACACATGGACATTGCATATTCAACAACATGGAGAAATAAATATGTCCCTAATCACTACAGCACCAGCCCTGCTCCTTTACCTGTGACCTGGTCAGCACCTCCAGGGTGTGCAGCCGGTGCAGCACATCATCCATGTCGTGCTGCAGCCTCAGCAGAGCCGCAGCTATTTGGTCATTGATGCTTCCCCTGGTGGAGCTGACAGGACGTCTGCTCTGCGACACACAGCAGCAGGCAGCATCTATACTCACACACTGCTGAGAGCTGCTGGGGGCTCTCGGTGATTGAGAAACTGGAACAAGAGTCAGAATGTGGTAGATTAACGCTACAACGTGCAACCTTTGTGGACACTTTTGCTCTTTGTACACCAGGTGTTTAAATGCTAAGGAAGGTATAAACCAAACACTATCACTCACCTCTCCCTCTTCTTGACAAGGAGCTGCTGTGTCTGCTTAGAAGAATCCCTTCATTCAGGTAGGAATCGCCGATGAACACCTGATCCTCTGCCACTTTCAAGGAAGTGTTGCTCTCAAACCAAAGATCCTTTTGCCTCACTGAGGCAGCTCCCGATCCAGGCGAGTGGCCTCTGGATGTAGACAGCCGCTTCACAGGAAAAGGAGAGTCAACATCAGTTTGACTGGACACTAACAGGCCAGAACACTTTAAATCAGCGGTCCCCAACCTTTTTTGCACCACAGACCGGTTTTAATTTTCCACGGACCGGTCATTGCACATAAACGTTTTTTCTATCAAAAAGTTTCATAAATGAATAAAATTACTTCTTATTGCTCAGTATGTGTTTACTTTTTCTTCTGTCTCAGCAGCGAGTCTCTCCCACTTTCCAAAGAAGCTCCCCAGAGACGTTTATTTTTTTATTTATTTCAGCAGTGGTCAGATTGACGGCTTCATTTAACAATCAGGCATGAAAACTGACAGTCATGTGCGGGAAACAAGCACAGACGGAAGTGACAGGAAGACGAGCTATTCATTTCCCAAAATAAAACACCCTGCAGATTCTGCTGCAAATAAAAATAAACCAATAAAATGTTTTTATGCTTTCTATGCAGTCCGATATCAAATGACCCGCGGCCCGGTACCAGTCCGCGGCCCGGTGGTTGGGGACCGCTGCTGTAAATGAATGATAACTGCCGATATAATGATGTTTTATGTTTATTATGTACGCAAGTTTAACACTT